CTCTGCCATGGCGACGAGCCCCGTGCGGCAGACGGCCATCCGGAGCTCCGCTCTGCGGGCCGCGGACGCGCGAGCCGGGAGAGCGACCCATCCCGGCTTCAGCGTCGCCCGCGGCCGGCGTGCCCACCGGCCTGTCCTCGAGCAGATGGAGCCTCCTTCCTCGGACGCGCTGCTGCAGAGAGCTGCGCTGAGCAGAGGTCTGCCTAACCCTAAACCCTAAACCCTTCACCCTTCAACCTAAACCCTGAACCCTAAACCCTAAGAGCCAGACCCCCCCTTTCCGCCCCCGTCCGCCCAATGTCGAAGCTCAGCCACGCGCAGAGGGGGGGTGGGGGGAGGGGGGAGGGCTTCTCAGAGGCACCCCTGCCTCTTAGGAGGCGCGGGCCTTGTATCTATAGATGTGAGGCCGGCGCCTTCTGAGAAGCGGCCTCCCAAGAAGCCCTCCCCCTGCCTCCACCCCTTTGTGCACCCCGCCAATCCGCCCCCGTCCGCCCAATGTCGGAGCACCGAATAATGAAACGCTCGCCAGGGGTCGGGGCTCGAGAGCCCCAGGCCCCCTCGCGTGTGGTGAAGCGAAAAACTATAGACCACGACGGGGGACTTGTTCTCGCCATTTTCGGCCTCCGGGGGCCCTTGCCGCGTGAATGCTGCGACCGTAACCTTGTTTCTTCCTCTTCCGCGGCGGCAGCGACAGACGCCCCCTTGGCCGTCGCGCCAGCACGGCAGCCGATGTGCCGTACAGACGCGGCGTTTCAGTTCAGGGAACCCCGGGACTCTGAGAGAAACCACGCAGGAGGGAAAAGCCGGTTCTTTGGGAGGGGTCGAGGCTTCTGGGGGTCGACGTGGTGACAGAATCACGGCGTCGGGGGTCTGGGGACGGGGCTCGATGCAAGTGGGGTCGGCCAGAGCACCGGATCTCGCAGGATCCTGCAGGGCCAGGGGTGACTTGACCCAGGTCTGCGTGCTGGATCCTGCAAGGCTTGACCGATCCGGGCTGCATTGACCTCGAAGGGGCAACGTCCCTTGCGAGCTGGGCGTGGCATTTTTCCGCACTGGGCGTCTTTTGTCCAGATTCGGGCCCCAGAACTATCAAAGATCGATGCGGCTCGGACAATGCAGCAGAGATAATGGATTTGATTAGGGCACGGGTCGTGCTTTTCGTCATGTTTCAATTTGCTCGCTGCGTCGGCTGTCAAGGTTGCAGAGCCCTGCTTAGAAGGTTTTTGCACTCTCTGTGGGGTGGGGGGTCGTCCTCGGGATGTCGGCTGCCACAAGAGGAATCTCATTCAGATGAGTCAAGGGAACCGATACCGCTACAGTCAACCCGCATAGTAAGGATGGGCAACCTTCCCAAGGGTACCCTTGCATCCTTGCCTCCTCGGTGCATCCTTGGCCACTTTCGTTGGCCGCACCCCGCTCGAAAACTTCGAAATGGGCGTCCAAGGGCCTTGCATCCTTATCGCGCATCCTTACTATAGGGGTTGACTGTATCCTTCCTTTGTTCTCGTCTTTTTTGGGGCCTCGTAGGAGTCCCCGTCGCCACGCCTGGGTTTGCCTCGAAATCCTGGTCAGAACGCACCCCAAGAGAGAGGTCCGCGAGTATTGTTAAGTCGGGCCTGTCCCTCTACAGGGGGAACATTCAGAAATAGTAAAAAAATAGTCTGGGGACTAATTGTTTGAGCATTTTTTGATTATTTTTGAAATATGTTTTTGTATCTTTTATTTTTCGTCGACAATCCCTCTGTAGGGGGACACGCCCGACTTAAGAGTAGCGGTGTCGGGAGAAGTTTGCCAGGCTGTCGACGTCTTCGTCGGTTCCCGGAGGTTTTCCTGCCTCGGTGTTTCAGCGGTTGCGCCCTGCCAGGGGTGTTCGGGGGGTGCCCAGGTCGTCCCGGACGCCCGCGGGAGACCAGAGCTATGACCTGGAAACAAGACCACCAGCTTCCCGGGGGCAACGTTCCCAGACCCCTTGCCGTCGTGACAAGCATCACGGCGTGCTGTGTTTGGCAGCTTTTGGCCCTGCGGGGCCCTCAACCAGTTCCCGGGGCCGTCGAAGTACGGCTCGGGATGAAACGCCAGTCCTGGAGAAGGGGTCCAGACCTCTGGAGGTCCTCGTCTGGAAACAATCACGATGTCGGGGGTCTGGCCGAGGGGGCATGGGCTCAGATCACATCATCTCCCTAATCGCCCCTTGGTTTAAGTCGGGCGTGTACCTGTACATGGAGAATATTCAAACATAGTCAACAAATCCTCAGAGGACATGTTTGTTTGAATACGTTTCGATCATTTCCAATGTTTTTTTTTTGTTTTCTTCCTGGGGTGTTTTCAAGTTTTTCCTTGAAAATCTGCCTGAAGGGGGACATGCCCGACCTAGCCCTTGGTGCCTATCGGGGGCGGTCGGGGGCCTGTCGGCGATCGATCGGCGATGTATCGCCGATTCCAGCTCGAGAGTTCCCATCCTGAGACCGTCCCCTCCCTCATGCTCCCCCCCTCCTCCCTCCTCCCTCCTCCCCCCTCCCCCCTCCCTCCCGCCATCTCCTCTTCCCCTTCCCTCCTCCCTCCCTCCCCCTCCTTCCTCCTCCCTCCTCCCTCCTCCCTCCTCCCCCCTCCCTCCTCCCTCCTCCTTCCTCCCTCCTCCCTCCTCCCTCCTCCCTCCTCCCCCCTCGTGGCCAACAACGTGATCGTAGTACTCCTCCTTCTCCATTCCCTTCTCGCCGAGCCGAGGCAGGGGGTGGGCGGGAGCTGGAGTGCATCTGCTGCCACGCGTGGCGGGAGGTCTTCTCGGCACAGCGCCCTCCAGAGGCGAGCCAGTCACGAAGACAGGTTAGATGAGGTTCTGTACCGTCCCAGCGCACCTGCAGGAGCTTTCTGACACGCCCCTGCAGAGTCGTTCGGCCGTTCCCTCGCCTTGGCATCGCTCGGCCGCGGGCCTTCATCCGGCCAGGGCTACCCAGGAGCCGATTTGGTCCTCTTACGAACACGAGAGGGCGCAAGAGATCGAACAACGCACGGGGAACGGACGTCCGAGCGATGGCGAGTCGTCGTGCCGAGTTTCCACCACCACTGCCATAGGTAGGAGAGGGGGGAGGAGGAGGCGGAGGAGGAGGACTAGGAGGAGGAGGAGGAGGACCTCCCCATCCTCCCGTCTCCCCCGTCTATGCCTGTGGCCCATCACGAGTCGTCCTCCTCGCCGAAGCTTCAGTCGGGCGTGTCTCTCTCTACAGGAGGAATATCAAAGGAAAGTAAACAGATTGTCTGGCGACGATATTCCGAGTGTTTTTGGCTCATGCTTGGATAGTTTTTGCATATTTTGATTTTCCATTGAAAATCGGCCCGTAGAGGGACACGCCCGACCGAAGCCGACGCCGCCGCCGCAGGCTCGCCGACGGAGCGCTCTACAGCTTTCCGACAGGCTCCGAGCCAGGGCGCCCGCGGCCTGCGGCCTCCACCGCCGACTGCAGGACCCGCGCTGCCGCCGGCCCTCTCTGACGGGCCTGTTTTCCGCCACCGCCACCATACGTTGGAGGGGGAGAGGGCCCTCCTCCTGCTCCTCCTCCACCTCCTCCCCCTCCTCCTCCTCCTCCACCTCCTCCTCCTCCTCCTCCTCCTCCTCCTCCTCCTCCTCCTCCTCCTCCTCCTCCTCCTCCTTCCCCCCTCCTTCCCCTCTCCTCCTCCTTCTTCCTTCTTCCTCCTCCTTCTCCTCCTCCTCCACCTCCTCCACCTCCTCCTCCTCCTCCTTCCCCCAACTTGTGGTGGTGGTGGTGGTGGAACACGGGCTCGCTCTCGGTGCAGCTCGGCTCGGCTCGCCGGCGGGGCCCGCGGGCGCGCTCTCCGGAGGCCCACTTCGGAGGCCGCGCGGAGCCCAGACCCCCTCGGGCAATGAACAGATCAGGACGGGAGGATTTTGCTATTTTCGGGAGGTTTTTTTTTTTTTTATATTTTCGGGAGTTTTTTTGCTATTTTCGGCTGGTTTTTGCTATGAAGAAATTATGACCGGAGGTTTTTTGCTATTTTTGGCCTCGGGGGGCCCGGACCGGGCCTCGGGACTGTCAAAAAACGACTCGGGATGGAAAACCGGTCCAGGGGAATGGGTCGAGACGTCCCAGGGACGCCGTCCTGAAAAAATCAGGACGTCGGGGGTCTGGGAGTCGGGTATAGCCAGGGCACCCCAGGTAAGGGGATCTGGTAAGTGGTAGGGCCTCGGAGCCCCCGAATTGGCCAGAATCACAAAAACCAGGTCTGCCGTAGCTGGTGTTTTTCGGGTGGCGGCAGTTCCGGTTAGTGGAACGGGGCAGGGGGGGGGGGCGTCCCCCAGTACACATCACTAAACAAGGTCCCATTAGACCCAGTTCTGCCAACGCCCGACCTTCGGGGGCCCTACTCTTAAGGCGGGCACGTCGCTCTACAGGAGGAAGATAGTCCAACAACATAGGCAAACAAATTTATCTGGGCACGATTCGTCCAGTATTGCCGATCACTTGTGAATCTTTCCTGGCTAGTTTCATGTTTCTTCCATAGCCCGCCTGTAGAAGGACATGCCCGACCTAACCCTACTTGGACTCATAGAAGAACAGTCGCCATAAACATAAACTTTGGCGCTTCGCGCGGATTTCTCGGATTCCGGCGCCGCCCGGCAGGGGGGTCCAGCGCGGATCCAAGCAATCCCGCGGAGCGCCAAACGTTTGTGGTTTTGCAGTGATTTCTTCCTCTTCGTCCCTTTCTGAGGCCCTTCGCGGGCCCTACTTGGATAAGCGCTAGAGTTGCTTGGATACGCGCTCGAGTTGCTAAGGGGATAAAGGGGGTGAACACAACGGATACTGGGGTGGCTGTGTCTGGCCAAACTTAGCCTATCCATGGGCTGCAGCTGCCCTGAGCGGCCTGAAGGGATTCGGTGTCTCTGCTACGCGGGCTCCGACTACCACTGAGCCCAGATCTTCTTCCCCGTAAGCCGCTCAGGTCATTTGCAACCCACTGAATCAGCTGCCCGCGGCAACCCCCGCCACCGTGACTGCGCATCAGCGCAGCAGGAAGAAGGCTGAGTGTAGGGGAACAGCTCAATCCCGACGAGCGGTTGGAACTGGGACGGGCCGTGGACCCAGCATCACCTCTACTCTGTGCTCGCGGGAGGAAGGAGGTCGAGTTCATGCAACGCAGCATTTCAGCGAGTGGTCTGAATTGGGGAGGGTCATGGTCCCGACCTCGTCCTTGTTTGCGCTGTAGGGAGGAGGAGGAGGAGGAGGAGGAGGAGGAGGAGGAGGAGGAGGAGGAGGAGGAGAAGGAGGGGGAGGGGGAGGGGGAGGGGGAGGTTCTTGAAGGCCTCTTCGTCAGTCTCTTGGGGGGTCCCTGGGGCCTCTTGGGGGTCTCTTGGGCCTTCTTGGGCTGCCTTAGGGAGCTCTTGACCTTTCTGACTTCGGAGACTATCTTCGCGGCTTCTCTGGGTATCATGTTGCTCTTTTGGAGCACTCCAGACCGTCTTGGAGCTTTCAAGGCCGCCTTCAGGTTGTCTTGGGTCTACTGGAAGCCCTGTTGGGAGCCTCGTGGGGCGTCTTGGGGCTATCTTGGAGGCCTCTCGGGCCATCTTGGGCGGTCGGAAACCGACACAGGCGACAGACCGACAGTCAGGCCCAGACGAGTGGGCGGCGACGCCGACGACATAGCCGCCAGAGCGGTGGTAGTGTTCGGACGACGAGGCGGCGACGGGGCGGCGACGGCCACAGCATCGGCGCCAGACCGGCGGTCAGGGTCAGTTCCCTTGGGCAGCAAAGGGAGACGCCCCAGGTGCAAGTATTGTTTTGGGAGCCCATGGGACCTCCATGTGTTGCCCGACCATCCTGTGGTGTTGGGTCCTCGTTTCGAAGAGACAGCGCCCCGCGTCTCCTGTCCTCTCCTCCTCCTCTTCCCCCTCCTCCTTCCGCCCATCATCATCATCATCATCATCATCATCATCATCATCATCATCATCATCATCATCATCATCATCATCATCATCATCATCATCATCATCATCACCATCACCATCATCACCATCACCATCATCATCATCATCATCATCATCATCATCATCATCATCATCATCATCATCATCACACCACAACCACCACCATCATCATCATCATCACCATCATCATCATACTCATACTCATACTCATACTCGTCATCATCATCATCATCATCAACATCATCATCACCATCACCATCACCATTACCATCATCTTCATCGTCATCACCAACATCATCACCAGCATCAGCATCAGCATCTGCATCAGCATCAGCATCATCACTATCAACACCATCACATCATCATCGTCATCATCATCATCATCATCAACATCATCATCAACATCATCATCATCGTCATCATCAACATCATCATCAAACTAAACTCGTCACCGTCATCGTAACCACCAACGTCATCACCATTATGGCTGTCATCATCACCATCATCGTCATCGTTCCCCGTCCATTCCTGCACGCCCTCACACGCTTCGTGGCCCCATAGGGAGCTCCACCGAAGGCCCTAGTGACAGGGTTCGCATGCGGTTCCACGCCCACCGCGCGTCTATTTCGGCACACCCCTCACACGGTTTGTGGCCCCATAGGGAGCTCCACCAAGGGCCCCAGCAGCAGGGTTCGCATGCGGTTCCACGCCCACCGCGCGTCTATTTCGGCACACCCCTCACAAGGTTTGTGGCCCCGTAGGGAGCTCCACCAAGGACCCCAGCAGCAGGGTTCGCATGCGATTCCCCGCCCCCCCGGTCCATTTTGGCACACCCCTCACACGGTTCGTGGCCCCATAGGGAGTTCCACCTTTCTCCTCCTCCTCCTCCTCCTCCTCCTCCTCCTCCTCCTCCTCCTCCTCCCCGTCCCTCCTCCTCCCTCCGGAGCCGGGGAAGGGCTCCAGACCTCTCGTGCGAGGGGCTGCAGTCTCGCAGAGGTGGGTCCCGCTGGGGCGGCTTGTAGGGGTCCCTTGCCCACGGTGCCCACAGGACTTCGGAGGAGGCTTAAGTCGGGCGTGTCCCTTTACAGGAGGAGTATTCAAAAGTAGCACAAACAATAGTTGGTCGATTTTTTTTTAGAATATATATATATATATATAAAAATATGTTTGAATATTTTGGGGTATAGTTGGGCATTTTTCCATGTTTCGTCCAACTTTCCGCCTGCAGGAGGACACGCCCGACCTAAGAGGAGGCCACCCGCGGTGTATCCCGAGCCCAGCGTTAAGTCGGGCATGTCCCTCTACAGGAGGACTTACACCAGAGAGAAACCCCAACGAGTGGATGGTTTGATGAGATCGAGAGTGAGATCGATGGAGTGAGATGAATCATGAGATGGCTCATGATACCGATTATGAATCGTGGGATCGATCAAGAGATCGAGAAAGAGATCGACCCGGGAACCTGGGAACCCGGGAACCTGGAACCCACCGAAATCGGCCTGGAACCAATAACCAGGAACCCGGGAATCCGGAATTGGGAACCCGGGAACCCAGCCGGCTACCAACATCGGCGAGACATTTTCGCCAAATTTTTGAATATCCGCTAGGACCCTTTCAGTGCAAGCACTGATTGGAGAATAATCAAGGGTAGGAACACATAGTTTGGGGACGATTGTTCAACTAGTTTTGGCTACGTATGGTGGAATAGTTTCTGACTCTTTTAAGATCTTTCTTTCAAAATCCGCCTGTAGGCTGTAGGAGGAGATGCCCGACCTAAGCGCAGTGACGCTCACCCTGAGCGAATGGGGCCAGTGGTGGCGCCACTGATTGCGGAAACGTAAGACTCGAGTACGCCGGAGTTCGGGTTCGCCGACGCGTTTTGACGAGCGCGTCCTGGAATGTGACTGTCCAGTTTTCGTGGGATGTTTGCAGCGGGAGCCCGCGTCAAATTTCAGACTGGGTCCCCCCAATTTTAATGATGGCCCCGTCAGGCCAACCCGAGTCCCCTAGAACCCGAGTCTTACGTCGGACTGAGGGGAAACACCGTGAGCGGCCAGGGGTGAGCCGCCAGGAATGTTCTCGGCCCAGTCCGCTCGCATCGCGACGCCCAGAGAGCCT